ATTTATTTCCGAGACTTTAAATCAATACAAAGTAGGTCTCTTAGTTCTGAAGCTGGGATGGAGTGTGAAAAAATGAGCCCATTGTACTCTTAAAACTTTGGGGAAAGGAGATGACAGCTATATAATTCCATTTACCAGGCACTAGGGGCTTTAATGTGAAGGTGACGGGGAGCTCTTTGTGCATTTAGAGCACCATATCTTCTAAATAAAAGATCTGTAGACTTGATAGTGGAGTATAGCTCTGACTTTAATAATCTCCAAGCATTAGACCGAGCCAATATGTTCCCAAGTCAGAAGGGTCCCCCACCGAATGCTCATAAATTAAAAGCGCAGGAACCGCGCACGGCCCCGGATTAGAAATGCAAGAAGTGCCGCCCGTCTCCAGGCAGAGCAAAGCAGTAAAGGCTCGGGAGAGGAGCTGCTTGGGGGCTCCCTCTGCCTCCATCCATCCTCACCTCGCCCCCTGTTCATGCTCTTTTACCCCCTAACGACACGCTACGGGTGGGGGGAGAGCGGGGGAAAGAGCGCTGTAGGATCTGTTGAGGCTTGACTGCACAGAATAACAGTTGAGTTTTAAGTTCCTACATTGTGTTTTGTGATGAGACATTCGTTCTGATCGTTTCTGCCTGTTTATGAAAAATAGGCTATTTGTAGTACGTCCCTGTGCCTTTTCTGCTTCAGGTTTCTGGCAGATAATATAAATGCTGGGATGGGAATTGCAATTATTGAAATTATTCGGATAAAAATCTGGCACTTATATTTGATATAAACACATGATATGCTCTGAATAATAACAGCACTTATGTTACATAATGGTTCCCATTCAAGCCCTCTGCTGTCATTTTTTCAGATCTTTCATCTCTGATGAAACGCAGGAGCCAATGAAGTTGGCAGCCAAACCAGCTTTTCGGAGAACGTCTCAGCTAACCACTAGCTCACTTGCTGAAAAGGAGAGCAGAGGAAGCATCTGGTCAGCACGGGTTCGAGTGCTAGAAAATGATTAATATGCATATGACGAGCCTATGAACCTGTTGAGGAAGGTCTTTTAAAGGCTGAAAAGGCTCCTAGAATCATGGCTCTCCTTTGTGCTTTCCGAAAGGTCCTCTGAAGTAAAAAGAATTTCCTGTCAGGGTAGGGAGAGTGGCTTTTGGAGGACCCGATGAAATCGGAGTTGCCGATACCGCCCGTGTGTTTTGCCAGCCCGTGGTATCAAAGGTGGCGCGAGCTGGAAAATAGCGTGTGCGTTCTTGCCGTCGTGGGCTGAGCTCTAGCACGTGCGGTTCTAGCAGCTGCGTTGCCTTCTGGCCGCTTCCCTGGCAGCCTCAGGGTTTTGTTGAGATGGGGGCACCTCGCAGCGTGTGCTGCACCTCGCTCTGAAATGTCGGACCGACAGCTGTTGAATTGGAAAAAGGAAATCTTATCCAAAATGCAAAGACACTGGGGTAACGTGCAGGAAAGGAGAAGTAGCAAAAGCGAGGGGGCCTCACTAGGGACCTTGGAAAGGGCGAGTTTTGGATCTCTGTGTGGAGCCGGTCACCTGCAGAAACTTCCTTTTGCTGGTAGCCTGTGAAACTCTGCGTGGACAGAAACTTGGTTTCTGGGTTCCCGAGCTTTCATGGTGTGGAAAGAATTTTAATTTAAAGCAGATTTTCTGGTGCCGGGAGCTTAGCGCTTGGTGCTTTGCTGTTCACAGCTGCTGTTCTTTGTCTGGTTTTGCTGTCAGAGGAAGCACAAGATCGGAAATCAACTATTGCCCGTATTCAGGTATATGCATATCGTGGGCCTCAGCTTTGAAGTCCTGGAAGCTGTTCTCTCTCACCCCTCTTGCTGGACCTTTTTTGGATCTCTGATCTGTAGCAGCTGACTCTGGGAGCTGCATCTTTGTTCCCGGGAGGACCAGTAGCCCCTCTGCCAGGAAGGGCCCTTTTTGCAGACTTAACCCTTCTGTGCAAGTGTTTGGTCCTTACACAGGTGCCTTCTGTAAGCCTTGGGCTAATGCTGCTTTCCCTCCTTAGCCTCCTCCTTTATGGGACTCAGTGGTGGACCGAAACCCTCAGGGCTCACAGTTTACCATTTTAACAGATTCTGGTTGTATGGGATCCAAGGTTTAATCCTCTGCGGCCTTTTGTCCCACACATTCAGTTCTAGCCTTGCCTGCCTAACTGATTTAGCAACATTTCCAGCTCCACTTGAGCCTCTGCTGACCACGTGTCTTACTGAGGAACATCCGAATCCCTTAACTGCAGAAGCATCAGTTTTGGACTTCTCCAGCAGATGTGTTCTCTTTCACCCTTGGATATTTTCTTGCAGATACATTTATACGGCAATATGCATTGCACCATTTAAGATTGTTAATTGGAGATTGAATTACTTGTCAGCCTTTAAAAATGTAGTCCTCTGAGGTCAGAGATGAGGTGGTTAGCAGAGCCGAATGGATGAGCTATCACATTCGGTTTTTTCTCAAGCCCAATGATCATTGTCTGTGAGCTGGCTAGCCCTTCGGTGCCTTTTAACCTCTGGCACCCAATCCAGCGTGCAGCTGTGTGCGCGAAACAAGCTGGCACGATCTCTGGTGGTTCCTGAGGAGACAGCAGAGCACCAGCGCAGAGGCAGGTGAGGGGACCAGAGCCCGGCGTGGCAGTTTCCCTGGCTGACAGCCCTCCTCAGCCCCTCGGCTGCTCGGCTTCTGCCCCAGGGAGCGCAGGAGCTTGTTTTGCATTTGGGCCGGGCTGAAGTCAGGGTCTGATTTAGAGCTTGCGTGTGCCCGGCTTCCATATCCCTCCCGCCGCGCTCAGCACGTGCGCGTGTGCGGACAGATAAGTCATATGCCCGGCGTGGCAGTTTCCCTGGCTGACAGCCCTCCTCAGCCCCTCGGCTGCTCGGCTTCTGCCCCAGGGAGCGCAGGAGCTTGTTTTGCATTTGGGCCGGGCTGAAGTCAGGGTCTGATTTAGAGCTTGCGTGTGCCCGGCTTCCATATCCCTCCCGCCGCGCTCAGCACGTGCGCGTGTGCGGACAGATAAGTCATATAAATGAAGGCAGCGAGAGCTCGTGGGTACAACTTTTAAAAGCAGCTTGGGACTGCGTCGCCTCCGCTGACAAACCCTGACAAGCGCGCTCGCTCGCCGCTACAGAGGGATTTCATTTGCACAGCCCCTCACAATGCTCTGCCACTTCACCGAAATGTCTGGAGCACTCGGGAGAAGGAACTGCATATTTATCTTGATCTCCAAAAAGGGATTTAAGGGCGAGAGCAGGCGGTATATTAGACTGTTTTCATTGCCTGTCAGCAGTGGTAAACCTGAGCTGTCTACAGTGTCTCCAGATAAGCAGCAGCAGAGGCCCATTTTGCATGTACATACGTTTGCATTAGTTCATAGATGGGGAGTTTAAATCCTCTTTATTTTTATTTTCCTCTGTGGAAAGCATTTACCTAGGCTTGTGCCTGGCATCTGGAGGCCTGTGCTTTTCTTTTCCTTGAACCTAAATCTACGCTGCCGTCTTTTCCACCGTGCCTTTTTGTGGCACTGATTTTGTTAGTGGAAGATGAAGGTGTTTGAGCTCTGAAGGGAGACCTGAGACCATCTCAGTGCAAAACCACGACGCTTACATGGTCTTCTAAATGTTAGAGCGAGTTGCATAACTTCTGCGCCTTGGTTTCGTCTGTGCTTAAACCCCGACTGACGTCTGCCCCATGAGGAGGTTTGTGAGGATCATCTAGTCCTTGTGAAAGGCCGGACCACCGGGCCTTTTCTCCTCCAAAGGAAAATAAATTTAGAGATAGCAAACGACAGCGTTGTGCCTCGCTGGCTCGGCGATGCTTTAGGTGGGCACGGTGCCTCCCTGACCCCCGCTGTGATTAACTGAAGTTGTGCAGGCAGAAAGCTGGTTGCTCCAGTGCAATTTTAGAACCAGATCCCAATTTTCTCTTTACATATCCCTCTGACATCTTCTTACTTTCAGCCCCGAAGGGCCAAATCCTGAGAAATGCGGAGTTTCATGACGGGTGAGATGAGTTATGTCCCGAGTGCTCATGTCGGGATGAGGATGAAGTCAGACCCAAGCATCCAGGACCAGGTTGCCTTGGGCTCTGGGCTTCTCCTCTCTTGGGGTGCCCCTTCTTCCTAAAACTGGTTTTTTTTTGCTGGAGGAGTGCAGGTTGTTCGTGTATGTTTGAGGGTGGTGGGGTTTTTTTGTTGGGGTTTTTTTTTTAAGATCTAAATGAAGCAGGTGCGTAATGCCCTCTGTCTGTTAGAAAGACTCAACCCATAAAAATAACAAACGGCATGTATTTGCTAGAATGTCAAAGTTATGAGTTTATTTTGTAATGATGTGCTCCTGCCTTCATGAGGTAAACTGGCCGTGGCAGAGGTGTTATTAGTAATATGGACTCAGTGGAGCAGAAAGCCGAGTGACCGAGAGATCAGTGTATCAGTCAGTGAGAGGGCAAATGGAAAGAGACAGCAGGAGAATGAGAAAAGAGCTGCGATGCCTGGGCTGAGATTAGAGATGGAGCTAGGCGAGAGAATTAGAAGCCCAGCAGTCGGAGTCTTATTCTTTCCAGGCTCTCTAAGGAGCTGGTGGGGCTTTGTCTCTGCTGTCCCCAGCTTTCTGCACGCTGTTGGTTTTTTTACCTCCAGTTGAAGGTTTAAATGGATTCGCCCTATCAGTTGTCTTAGTTGGAGCAATTTTGAATTAGTGAGTTGAGCTCGGGTCAGCAGATTTGGTCACAGATGGGCTCCACTGCTGCTCAGGGAGTGGCACATTATATCCCTGCCCCCTGCCTCAGTTTCCCCACTTGTATCGTTCCTCTTGGAGATCACGGTTCATAAGATCTTACCTGCACGCAGGGCTCGGGAAGGTCCGTTGTGAGTGGTTTGGCATCCTTTGGCGTCAAAGTGATCGTGACTTGCTGCAGGCGTGGGCTCATGCGTACCTCCTTGGCCAACACCTCCTTGTCACATCCCATCTGCTGATGATTTTCCTGGGTTTTGTTTCCAAAGGTGCTTGGACGGGAAGTTTATACCTCCAACAACCAGCTGGGCGGGATCCAGATCATGCACAACAACGGAGTGACGCACAGCACGGTGTGCGATGATTTCGAAGGAGTCTACACTATTCTGCAGTGGCTTTCCTACATGCCAAAGGTAATCCCTGGCCCTGCTGGGGCACAAAGTGCCACCACCCGTTGCTTTGTTCATGGGGCTGGGGGGCTCTCTTGATCTCTGGAGTTTTTTCTGTGTTTGTGACAGATTTAGACTCATGATCAAGACCAGTAAGTGTTAGGGTATTGAAGTAAACAAAGTAGTTTTTGTCTTAAAGCGCTGCAGGAACCGGGATGTGGGACAGCCTGGCGCTGCCTTGGGTACTTTGGCATCACTCTGCTGGCTGTTGCCCTTGTAGTCTGGGCAGGAGGATTTAGTGTAAGCAGTGGGTTGTCTCTTACTGGGAAGACTCTAAAAGTTCCCGTCCGAGGCAGTAATCTGTAGGAGCTGATGCGTACCTGTGAGCTGCTCTGCAGCCAGGAAGGTAGCGACAAGAACACGCAGGTCACCTTCCTTCAGGAAGGAGTGCACAGACTGAGTCAGGTGGCCTGGTCACCTTTCAAACATTAAATTGGAAGCCCTCACTAACGCTGGCTGTGCCTGAAGTTCAGGAGCAAGTGAAGTGCTTTGGTGATGCCAAAGCAGGGTCTGAGAGAGTGTACAGAGCACCTTGGAAGTTCCTTCAGGTCTCATCACGGCTCTGGGATCCCGTCAGTCGCAGGGTCGTGCAGCGTGGGGAAAGAGAACTCTGAGCACGTCCTTTAGAGCTGGGGTCTGCTGCAAAGCCACGCAGGACAATTATTTCCTTCAGTATTTTTCTTTTTTCTCCTTAGAGTGTCTACAGCCCTGTCCCTATCCTCAAAGTCAAGGATCCTATAGATAGAACCATAGAGTTTGTTCCTACCAAGACTCCCTATGATCCTCGCTGGATGCTGGCTGGACGCCCAAATCCAAGTAGGTTGATCTTTGGTGGGCAGGATATGCAGTGATTCGTCTTGTTTCATGGCTGTTTGTCAAGGCTTTATGTCTGCAATCCAAATATATGTCAGAGCTTATACAGTGCTTGGTTCTAAAGAATTTGAATATATAAAAATATAGCATGTAAATTCTGGGTACTAGAGGACACCTACAATTCTTAGTGACTTTTATAGGTTTGGTTTTTTTTACGGTTTGGAGAAAAGTCTGTATACAAAGGGTCTGTACGCTGAAGGCATCACAGTATTTGTGCAGAGCTTGGAGATCTGTAACACTGCAAACCACAGAACCCCCGTGTACGCTTTTGGGGTTGTCCAGCCGCTGTACGTACAAGTTGCAAACTGGGTGCCCATTATGCCTGCTGTTATTAATGAGTTTGGGGGCCTAAAATGAGGTTTGTGATAAACTAAGTTTTCTGGTTTTGGATAATATTTTTTCATCATCTCTCAAGTAATTCATCCAGCTGTCTGAGTGCAGCTAACACTGGCTTCCAAATCGAGTGACTTCAGATTTTAATTTAGTGGAAGCGTTAAGGAAAGCAGATGATTCCCTGTGATAAGTTAAAGCAGATATCTCCTAGGTGAAAAGTTAAAGCCATTTATTAGAGGAGATATTGCCGTGATATTCTTCAAACTGACGCCCGACACGAGGCCAGAATCTAAACGATCAGCTTTGGGCTCACGATAAAGAGATAATTTTGAAATGGATGGTCACATTTTACGGTGGGGCCACAGAGGCAAGGAATGTAGAACACAGTAATTACAAGTTTGGTCTTGATAAAACACTCTCCATCCTGTTTAAGTCAGCAGAGGTTAGCTTGCTTGGATCTCCACTTTTAATTGGTTTTGGACTTGGGTTTGCAGAAGCAGAAGTGCTTGTTCAGATTCCAGCGTTCCTCGGAGGGTAAAGCTGGGAGGGGTTTTGGTTGGGCTTTGGGTTGGGGTTTTTTTGTTGCATTGCGTCGTGAAGCCCCGGTGGAAAGCAGGTGCCCTCGGGGAGTTGGGATTTCTGGAGCTGTCTGGGTGGGCAGAGCATCTCGATGCCTTCAGTTCGGGTTGTCCAGCTCCTACGGGCTGGAGTGCTGCAGAAAGAGCTCTCTGCAGATCTTCCTTGTCCCTCCCCAACCCAGCACGAGCAGTTAGTCCGAGGGAAAGCTCTTCATCGTGGCCTTGCTTGTCCACTGGAGCAGGGTCCAGGCTGAAATACTGGAAAACCTTCCTGCCTGGAAAGTGCCACGTGGATGGAGCAAGTAGGCTTTTGCTCTCGGGAGCACTTCGTTTCAGTTTTTCTAAAAGAATGTGTGAAAACATGCTCAGGTGTGTGCTCTAGTTTTAAAGGATTGTAGAAATTTTTATATTCAGTTCCTGAATTGCTTCAACATTCTTTCATTAAAGGAAGATTAGGCAGAATCCAGAGAAAACTGTGAAGTAAGTTTTAAAATAGAAATAGGCATTTTGAAAAGCATTTTTAATGACTTTACTGCCTTTTGACAAATGTTTGCAGTGTCTTGAAAAAAAGAGTTATTTGTTTAAAAGCATGCGAAGTCCCTCTGCTATCCGAACCCCATCGTTTAACAATAAATGATGCTTTTGCTGATAAATTACTGTCTTTATGCAGGCTAGCAAATGAATTAAGACATGATGGCTGAAGGCAGACAAATACTCAGCTGTCTAATGTTCCCTTGTATTATGATCTATTTAAAAGTAAATAAATAAAAAGACAGCACCACATCCTCCGGTTGGCATTTTTAAGCAAGTTTCAGTTGCTGCTTTGGTATTTTCTCTTCTTTCTTCCCTCCCTCCTCTGATATTTCCATTTTTTTCCCTTCCCTTTAGGTCAGAAAGGACACTGGCAAAGTGGTTTCTTTGACAATGGCTCGTTCCTGGAGATCATGCAGCCCTGGGCGCAGACAGTTGTGGTTGGAAGAGCAAGGTAAAGTCCAAGAGGCGATTTAGACATGTGTAGAAATCAAGTTTTCTTTATGCTCTGCTTTTTCCTAGAACATCCTTTGAAAGTTGAGGGCTGTAAGTAGAAATAAGTCAATGGAAACTTCTTTACCATGTGAACGAAGCGCGGTCTGATTGTTTCTCCTGTTTTGCTTGGAGGTGACAGCTTTACCGTGCACAAAAGCCAAAAAAGGAGAGACTGTGGGAAAAATGTGGGCAGGCAGTACTTGCTTCCCTGGGTGCGGGTTGCATAGTGAGGCCTTCTTGCAGCTCTGACGTGGCTGAGGGTACATTGTGCCATTTATTGGTTTGTATTTTATTTGACTTGGAAGAAAAGTTGCACTAAAGGTAGAGCAAATTGCAAGAGACGCTGCATCGAGAAGAGCTTAATGCTGAGGTTTGCGTGGTGTAACTCGCAGTGTTTTCCAAACGAGCACCTGCCACGCCTGGTCTTAGTTGATTTTGGTGGTGCCGAGAGCCCTGTGGCACTCGCCTCCTCCCGAGGGGGAGTCACTTCCCCTCCCCTTGCTGCAAAGTGGCTCCCGTGCAGGGTTCTAAAACCTTCCCTGTCGCCCCCAGATTCAGACCCCTGCCTTGAAAACATGTGCAGCCCGGGTCGTTCTGGGTGTTGCGGGTCCATGAACTCTCAGAGCTGGCAGGAAGCAGAAGCCTGGAGACGGGATCCTGCATTTTGACAGATGCAAATCGGAGCTGGGCTCAAAACCCCCTCCATCACCTCTTTTCTAGTTCCTCCTTTAGCTTTCTGCCCACCCCCTCCCCCAGTGGCACTGTGAGTTTCCTGCTCTGATTGTCTGCTCTTCTCAGAAACAAGCCGTTTGCAAAGAGTGCATTTATCTCCCTTGAGTTCCCACTCCAAGTGCCTGAGCTGTCCAAAGGCAGCGTGCCTGTCCTTTGTCACTCCTCATTCCTTGCACCACTCCAGCTCTTCCCTCAAGACAAAGCTTCATGCTCTTGCCTCCAACAGACTCCCAGCACCTTATTCATGTCAGTGGTTTTGCTTAATTGTCGGCCTTTTTTTTGTTTGTTTGTTAGCAAGCAAGAGGAGAGGAGAGGAAAAAAAAAAAGAAACCAAAATATTGAAGTGTCTGAACGGGATCCTGGAGGCTTCAGGTGTTAGACTTAATGAGATACAGTCGTGCCTGTGCATGAGGGGTGTTCAGGGTACCTGAGCTCCTAGCAGAAGTCTGCATCAAAGAAAAATCTTTTATTTGCAGATCTTTCACCTCCAGTACTGTCAGGTTCCCCAACAAGGCTTTCAGGTTAAGCGGTGCCGGGGGATAGGGAGGGAGTCAGTAGTTTGGCAAAGCTGGAAGCTCTCTGTCCAGGCCCACGCTCAGCTTCGCTTCCACTTCCTTCCTTCTGACAAATTCCAAGTTGCTTTGGACTCTCACACACAGGTATATATAATACAAATGGAACTGACTTGTTCAAAAGCAGTGACATTTGGAAAAAAAACAAAAAATAAATAGGAATGTATTCTTCTGGGATTGTTACTGTAAGTGCTGCCAAAACTCATCTTTTGTATGTATGTTTGGAATATGTGTGCTCTTGGCTGTAAATTGTCTTTTATTATTCTATGGCAACTTGTCCAGGGACACACTATAAAACAAGATGTAGCATCTTCATGTGCTAGCCTGATAAAATTTATATGAAGTATAATGGAAAACAGAAGTTGTTTTGAGCTGTTTTCAACTTCAATAAATAACTGTAATACTTGGATAAAGATGTTCTTTATTAGGTCACATGGGCCCTAATATAGAAGTTATAAGTTACCGATTTAAGACGGCTTCTGCAATTACGGGTTTCTAGGCAGACCCTTAATCATAGCAAATGGGAATATTCTCAGCCCCCCAGTGCACGGGGGCCGTGTCGCTTCTCCCGCCTGCGGCGCGGCTCGTCCGGCTCGAGGTGCTTGAGGAGAGAGCAGAGGCTCTGCTGGGACTCCCGTCCTGGCAGTAAGTGGCTGTCGTCGCCGGCGAGATGCCTTTTGTGTGAAGGAGCCGTCGGATGCCGCGGGAAGCCATCCCGCTGCGGAGGCTCTGGGGAGGAGATGGGTGGGCAAACCCAAACCTGTCCCCTGCGCCTCTCGGGAGAGGGAGTTCTTGTGAGCGGTGGAGGTTCAGCGTGGCTGAGGCGTCAGCGCTGTTCCGCCATGCAGCCTCTGGGTGTATCTCCTCGGCTGCCAGGGCTCGGGAAGCCTTGGGTCTTTGCGTTTATTTTTCATAGCTGAGACCATCAGTATCAAAATCTGCGTGGTGGCAGGTGAGGGGTAGTGGAGATTTAGTTATTATATTCCAAATCTGAGTTTATCCTGTTTAATTTTTAGTTGGGGTATGTGCTAGTTTTTAGCACTAGATTTCGCTTTGAGGACTGCAACTTCTGCTCTGAAATTCTCCAGCTACGTGCTGAACTCTTCAGAAAGACTTTTTCTGCCATTTGCTTGCGTTGTTTGTCTCTCCTGAGTATTTTGATGCAAATTGGACAAAACGTCTCGTTGTGTAACAGCAGAAATAGGAATTTTGATTTGTCTTTCATGTTACCAGGCTGGGAGGAATACCTGTAGGAGTAGTTGCCGTAGAAACGAGAACGGTGGAGCTCAGCATCCCTGCTGATCCTGCAAACCTGGACTCTGAAGCCAAGGTAGGTTGAACCTGTGCTGGGTTGCTTCTTTGTCCTCTGCAAGCGTCTCTGTGGAAAGAGCACTTGTTTTGATGGGGTTTTTTCCCCCCAACGTGGGACAAAAAGCGTAGCTGTTCCTTGGCGAGGTGCTAACATGTGACAGGTGTTGGCAGGGGTGGGTGGGCAGCTGTATGGGCCCTTCCTCCAGGAGACACGTTCCCCAGCGCTGCTGCTTCTCTTCTGACTTAGGTGAGGGGCAGCCACTAGGGCCTAGGAGATCTGACAAGCAAAAATAGCCATTTCCCTGTTCTCTTGCAGTGACCATAGTGTTTTGTGGTCCTTCTGCTCTGTCATTTTGTTTTTCTTCTGCCTGATTTCATCTCTTTGGGTTTTTCTCCTCTATGTATCCTTTTTCTCTCTCCTTCACCTTCTCACAGCAGTCAGAGCATCAGGCTTTCCATCCCATTTCTGTTCTTCTCTTGATGGTAGTGACAAAAGGATTGTCCTGATTTTCATGTGGCCAAGCAGACCCTAAACATTTCCTGTGCTGCGTCCTTCATTGGCAATTCCACCTCACAGCTCGTGTTGCGCCTGCTTCTGTGGTTTTATGCCAGCTCTTACATTAACGTGTTTTGAGGCTTAGCAGTTTTATTATTTTTTATTCCCAACAGATAATCCAACAGGCTGGGCAGGTGTGGTTCCCTGACTCGGCCTTTAAGACTGCGCAGGCTATCAACGACTTCAACAGAGAAGGGCTGCCTCTCATGGTCTTTGCTAACTGGAGAGGCTTCTCTGGTGGAATGAAAGGTAACCATCTGTTTTGATCTCATTTTGGTGTTGTCCTGTAGCGTGCCTTGTCTTTTACTGCTCGGGCCACTGCTGCTGTTCCCCTCCGTGGCCGTCTGAAATCACGGCAGCGCTCTGCCCGGCTTTCTCATGAGCCAGTTGTGATCTTTGCACAAGAGCCAGTTGTGACCTTTGCACAAGGAAAGGGGTGCTCTGTGCTGTGGCAGCTGTGGTGACGAAGAGTTTCGTTCCTCTCCTCCCCTTGGCTCGTCTCTAATAGGCACGTAGCAGGAATAACCAGAACATGCAAGGTGTGCATTTGATGCTGAGCTCCTTCCCTAATAGGCAGTGCAACTGTATTTTCATACCCTCATATAGAGTTATAGGAACTGGCCAGGTCATGGAATCACAGAATCATTTAGGTTGGAGAAAACCTTGAATATCATTGAGTCCAAGAAGGTCTCATGTGCAGTGAGAGCAGGTAACAGGATGTTAACAGTGATCTGGTTGCTCACAACATTTACAGCTGCCAACCCGGGCTAGTTAAACTCTAATCTCAGGAAAACCTTTCTGCTCGGAGAGCTTTATATCCTTCTGCCTCAGCTTAAAAGTGGGGCTGGATAAGCCATCAACATCACATATCAAAAATGAGCAGGCATATTCAGTCAGCACTGTGTCTTTGGTGATTTTTCCTGCTGTAATATCGTCCTGTCCAGGACCGTCTCCCAGTGGACTCTTTGGGTGGTAGGGATGCTCAGAGGAAGCGAACAGTTATAAAACTGCTCAGTTAATATACCAGCAGTTACCTCTTTGCACCGCATATTGCTACTTTAAATTTTGTGAAGTGCGAAGAATGTGAGATTGATACTATAAAATTCAAATAAGTAAAAAGATTATGGCCTCTTGCCTGCGTGTGGCACTTAACAAATGCAGAAGAACGGTTACCGAGGCGCCGACACGGGGAAGTCGCTGCCCTGGGCAGGCTCGCAGGGCGACAGAGCCGTCTCACTCCGCTGCGTCGTTAGCGGGGCACAAAGCAACAGATGCAAAGATGGAAGATGGCAAAAGATGGCAAAACTCTTCCCTCTGGAAAATAGCTGTTTAAGGGTGGTTTCTCCCTTAGGCACTTGCTTTCCCCACCGCACAACTTAGGGGCGAGCGTAACTATTAAATATTATTTTGCCTTCCTACATGGTGAGATCTGGCAGCTTTGCCGGTGCCCTTTGCTGGGTTCCTCAGAAACTGAGCCCAGCTTTGGAGCTGGGACTAGAAGCCCGAGATGGAAAAGGCACTACGAGGATGCTCACACCACGTTGTGTACCCCTGCTTACTCCGGAGTAAGTGGGAGGAGTAGAGAGTTGCGGCAGAGGGGGGAAAGGCAATGGCCTTTTGCATCTTGGTCCCCGTATTTCCCTGCGTCGTGCTGGCTGTCGGGGCGTGCGTAGCACGAGTCGCCGTTCCTTGGGGAGTTGTTTGCAGTTTTGGTTTCAGCGCAGGCTGAGGATTATGCAGGGAGGGAAAATAAACAATTATGCCACCCCTCAGTGCACACAAACACACTGCCAGGAGCCGACTGCACTGTGGGTAAAATGACTCCAAAATTGTGTGTAATGAGTAGGAAAAGATTAGAGACAGCTCTTGCTATGCTGAAAATTGACATTAGTGGAGGAGGAGGGGGGAAGAAAAACAACCAAAAACAACCTCTTTCCTAGTCGGCCTAGGAGGTCTAATTCGAGCCGTAAAATAAATAAATATCTAACATAAATAAAGGCGTATGGCGCTGGTGGCGGTGGTTTCCCCGACGAGCTCTGTGTGGCCAGAAGGCTCTTCAGCATAATGCAAAATTAAATTATAAAAACTGGCTGGAATATTTAGATGGAGGAGCCATTTGGAAGTGGTTTATTTAGGCGAACCGCCGGTGACCCACAACGGGGAGACATCAAGCGTGAAATTTACTGGAAATTAGCACCAGGGTCTTGGACTCGGCAGGAATAGTTTGATAGCATGCAAATCCCCGCGACATTAAACCGCAGCGCCGCTTGGGCTACAGGGTCACTCGTAGTTGCCTTTTCATGTTTTACTTATTATTTTTGCCCAGGACAGGTTATAAATAACAATAAAAAAAAAAAAGAACCGGCAGCAGAATGAAAAGGCTGATTTAAATCTCTGATTACCTGGATGTTGCCCGTGTGTAATGGGTTTATGAGGGACATTATGCGTCCGCGGCCGACGCGTGCCTGGTGTTTACCTCCAGGTCCCATCCGATAATCCAGCCAAGCTGATGAGATCCGTTCCAGCTTTTCAGAGGTTCAGGGCACGCTGCCCAACGCTATGGAATTTAAAAAAAAAAAGCTCTCTGCAGCCTTCCTAGCATGCTTGGTGCAGCTCGCTGCCAATATTTGCACGTACAGGGTAGGGATAACAGTTTCCAGCAGGTTTCGTATCTACGTGTGGTAGACGCCGATGCACGGGCAGCTGAGCAGGCAGGCAGGGAATGGGCAAGTGCGCTGCAGCC